AGAAAAAAAAGATGGAGGAAAGGGATCATGAAACGGAGGGAGGAAAAATATTCCGAACCCGTTCGGCCAGCGCTCATCCATCTCCCTATTCCGGTTCCAAGATGAACCGCGACGTGTTTCTAATTGCCCACTATTCAGTGCAGCATTTTCGATCTCTTTTTATAGAATGAATTTGGTTTTGTGTTGTGAAGGGATGGACATTAGTAGCTGATGAAACAATTCCTTATCAATGCATTTGGAATTTTTTTTAGAAGAGCATAGTATGTAGGATACAACTCCAACAAAGACAAAAGATAAAGTAGAAAATTGAATGAAACCAAGCAATTTGCTGGGGAACTTGGCAGGGAGGTTCTCAGTAGAATCTCCAAAGAAAAGATGATGAAGTTTATATTTCAGTAAGCCTTCAAATTCACACTCAACATTTGAAAAGCAGCAATACTGAATGCTCAAGGTATATAACAACACAATAAATGGGGTTTTTAATGGGGGGGATTGCGCAATGTGGAAATTCCATAGCAGAATTCCATTAATCCACTTATTTGGTTTTTGCATTCCTTTTTTTGGCATTATTTGCATTAGTGTGACACCTGTACCTTACCCAACATTCAACAGTAGCCAATCGCACAATCTTCATATTACAGCATTGGCATGCACTTTTTTATGGAATGGGTTTTGATTTTGCTTTATATACGAAGGGGGTGGAATTTTTGTAGCTTTCGAGAAACTTCTGAAGGGACCGCTTTTTCTTTGTACTGCTGGAGGCGCGTCATTTGCACAGGTATCATATAACTTCATGGGCCGCAGGTTGGGGTTATTACTATTACTCGCCTATATATTTTTTTTCCTTCTTCTTCTCATTCTATTTACCTTTCGAGTCATAAGCGTGTGTTGGCGTCGTTTGTTTTCCCCTTAATGGGCTTTTGTGTGGATGCCGCGGATATTGTGAAGATGTGCTTGAAGGGTGGGTGCGTGAGCAATTAGAAACACGTCGCGGTTCATCTTGGAACCGGAATAGGGAGATGGATGAGCGCTGGCCGAACGGGCTCGGAATATTTTTCCCCCCTCCGTTTCATGATCCCTTTCCTCCATCTTTTTTTTCTTCAACTTCTGGGAATTTTTTTATTAATTTTTTTGTGTGTTGCGATTCTAAGAAGATTGTGTTGTTGCTTGATGGCGTGGAGATTGGCCCTGGACCGCTATTGAATATTACCAGGCGCTTTTTTTTTTCAAGCTGCAGGGATATTTGCAGGGCTTGAAGTTGTTTTGCTTTGTATATATATATATTACTGTATTTACTCAAGTACCACACGCACCTTTTTTCTCAAATTTCAGAAGAAAAAAAGGGGTGCGTGTCATAAGCCGGTACAAATTTTTCAAAAAGTTTTAGGAAGTTATGTGTGCATTATACTTGATGATAATGGAGAAATTTTGGAACAAATGTAACAAGAAAACTTTTTTGTACTGAAAAAGTTGAAAATTGATCAGATTTTTGTTCAATTCATGCCTAAAGTCAAATCTTGTGTTCTTATTTTGAAAATTTTGTGGTTTCAGGTTCTATAAAAATTGGGGTGCTGTCTTACTCGGGGATAAGATTTTAGAAAACTTTCCAACTGAAAAACCCCTTTGCGTGCCTTACTCAAAGGCACGTGGTACTTGAGTAAATACAGTATATGGCAAACAATATGTGTTGTCAAGGGCAATCTTGGGGGGGGGGGGGGGTTTGCCTTATGGCTATATTTGAATATCAAGCATATTGAGATTTTCTGAACAATCAAGCGTGTGTTTTGGAATATTTAAGGTGATTTCATCTGTTGTTTAAGATGCGTTATTACTTTGATGACGATGATTGAAAGCTAAACTTTTGCGGAGTTGTGTCATGATAACTTGGTAAAATTCACCTGTTTAAGAATGAAATTGATACTTTCATTCGCTCTTCTTTTTAATGTTAATTCATTTCAATGTTACTGAGTATGAGTCAAGCCGAATTTGGAGTGTCTAGAATTTCGTCGCGGTCTTTTTGTTTGATTGTTCGGGAAGAAAATTTTTACCGAAATTATTGAATCCTTTACGAGAGAGTTTGTAATAAGGTTTTTTGGGAAAACATAAAAGCTATAGAGTATTAAAGATTTTCTGTGATTTAATACACACGCAACAATCATATCTCCAGAATTTTACCACGTTGCGTGTTTCCACTTCTTTTCTCAAGATATTTAAATTAATTTCAACATTTTAATGAAAATACTGTACATTAAATTGTGGGTGACTGTTAATTTTTTAATAACTCTGACCAAGGATCTTCTCTATTTTTAATTTTATGGCATTTCATTTCTCTTTGACAAGATATTTTTTCATTGGAACAGTACTTTATGAACCCAATTATACCACACACGCTCAAGCAAGGCATGCACTTGAATTTATATGAGTAAAATGTGCCTCAATTGGTCTGATTGCATGGTACTAATTTTTATTGATTTGTTTTGAATAATTATACTTATATTTAATGCGAAGTATAAGACAATAAACTAGAGGAAATCACTGGAATGGAAGACTTGGCACCAAACCAAAATTCGATTTCATGTTTTTCACCCAAAGGGACTCACACACAACTTCCTAATCAATTAATCTTAGTTTAATCAAATTTTCTTTTCAAAAAGTTATATATTACCTGTGTATCACTTGCACCTTCCCTTTATTCCTTTATGTTCAATAAAAGCGTGCTTATTTATAGGGTACTTTCATAGATGTGATGGTACATTGCTTTTTCAGTAATACAGTATAAATAAATAATTAATTGATTAACAAGCAAATATTTTCATAGCGCCTGTCGAACTAGAGTTTTGTGTCAAACCAGATAGCACTGCAAATTTTTATACTGAGAATAGATTTTAAACCCGGAGAAAGTGGAAATCTGTGCT